TGAGAGAGAATGTAGCACTTTTGAGAAGATAGTAACTTCTATAGCCAGGTTTCAGTGTGAGGGTGGATTTGGCTAGGTGGACATGGACCAGCACATTGGACTATTTAAGCTGTGTTGAAAGAAAAAAAATATGTAAGGCCTACTTTTTAAAAAATTATATTTTATTGATTATACTATTACAGTTGCCCTGATTTTTCCCCTTTTGTACCCCTCCACCCAGCACCCACTACTCCCTCAGGCAATTCCTCTACCATTGTTTGTGTCCGTGGGTCATGCGTATAAGTTCTTTGGCTAATCCATTTCCCACACTGTACTTTACATCTCCGTGGCAATTCTGTAACTACCTATTTGTACTTAATCCCCTCACCTCTTCACCCATTCACTTCCCCCCTTCCATTTGGCAACCATCTGATAACAAACTTCTTTTCTCTTGCTGCTTTTTAAGAGCCTCTCTTTATCTTTAATCTTTGGCCTTTTAATTATGCTATGTCTTGGAGTGGGCCTCTTTGCATCCATCATAATTGGGACTCTCTGTGCTTCCTGGACTTGCAGGTTTATTTCCTTTACCAAATTAGGGAAGTTTTCTTTCACTATTTTTTTCAGATAGATTTCCAATTTCTTACTCTTTCTTTTTTTCTTCTGGCACCCATGTGATGCAAATATTGGACCTCTTGAAGTTGTCCCAGAAGCTGCTTATACTATCCTCATTTTTAAAAATTCTTTTATCTTCTTATTGTTCTGATCTGTTGTTTTTTCCATCTTTAAGTTCCAAATCGTTGATTTGATTCTTGGCTTCATTCACTCTACTGTTGTTTCCCTGTAAATTGTTCTTTATTTCCATTAGTGTATCCTTTGTTTCTCACTGGGTCTTTTTTATGCTGCTGAGGTTCTCACTAAGTTCCTTGAGCATCCTTACAACTAATGTTTTGAACTCTGCATATGATAGATTATTTCTCTTCATTTTGTTTAGCTCTATTTGTGGAGTTTTGATCTGTTCTTTCATTTGGGCCATGTTTCTTTGTCTCTTCATTTGGCCGCCTCCCTGTGTTTGTTTCTATGTATTAGGTAGAGCTGCTATGACTCCATGTCTTAGTAGTGTAGCCTAACGTAGTAGGTGTCCTGTAGGGTCCCACTGGCACATCTTCTCCACTCACCCAAGCTGGGTACCTGAGGTGCACCCTTCATGTGGGCTGAGTACACCCTTCTCTTGTAGTTGAGACTTGGTTGCTGTTGGCAGATCAATGGGAGAGATTTACCTAGGCCAGTCAGCTGCAAGGACTGGCTGTGACCACTGACCACCAACCTCTGCCCTCTGTGGAGGATCAGCTGTGCAGGGGCAGGGTCATGGTGCCCTGGCATGGTTTGTAGCTGTCCACTGGGAGCACTTATATTTTCTAAGAAAATATAAAATCAGATATATGAATTTTTCTTTGAAGAATGAAAGTTCATTCTTAACTAGCAAAGGGCTTGCTAACTAGATTTGGAAAACCCCACTAAACAAAGTATAGTTCCCAAAGTGAATACATTTTTTTACTTTGCACTTGCTGCTCTCAAGATTCTGGCAACAAAAGAGAAGAAAAATAAAAGTCTCCTAAATAGCAAAGACCTTGTATTTTATAATTTTGTTGTTCCAAGAGTTTGCAACACATTGTTCAGATAAATTACAATGATACCTGTGAAATTTAGTGATAGCTGAAAATTTGTATCAGTTGAGATAAATGATATTCAAAGGCAAATATATCAGTTTGTGGATATGATGGCAAAAGGCTCATCCCATTATTATTTTTAAATAAAGTACATCCTTTTAAAAAATTTATTTATTCATTTTTAGAGAGAGGGCAAGGGAGGGAGAAAGAGGGAGAGAAACATCAATGTGCATGAGAAACAGCAATATAGGCTGTTTCTCTCACACCCTCAACTGGGGACCTGGCTGATAACCCAGGTGAGTGCTGTGACAGAGAATCAAACTGGTTATCTCTCAGCTTGCAGGACGAGGGCCAAACCACTGGGCCACACCAGTAAGAGCTGAAGGACATTCTTTTTTTTTTTTTTTTAAGATTTCATTTATTTATTTTTAGAGAGGGAAGGGAAGGAAATAGAGAGAGAGAGAAAAACATCAATGTGAGGTTGCTGGGGGTCATGGCCTGCAACCCAGGCATGTAACCTTACTGGGAATCGAACCTGCGACACTTTGGTTCGCAGCCTGTGCTCAATCGCACTGAACCCCTTCAGCCCAGGGTTGAAGGACATTCTTAAAATTCCTCCCGCCCCCCATACCCTGGAAACCCAAAAACAGAACAATGCTCTTGCTTTCACTTTCTCTTGCACATCATGGTAAGAAGTTCAGACTTTAGACTTCAGCAATGAGAGGCAATGATTTTTTTTTATCTTCAGCAAAATTTATTTTATTTTTTTATTTTATTTTAATTGTTATTCAAATACAATTTTCTTTTACTCCCATCCCAGCTCACCCACCCAGCCCTCCCCACTTGCATCCCATTTCCACCCACTCCTGGTTTTTGTCCAGAGAGGCAATGCTTCTTAATCCAAGGAGGGATGGTTTTTGCACTTTTGAAAGATCGTGCTGGCTACAAAATGGAGAAAGAGTCAGTCAGGAGAGAATGAGGGGGCAGTTAGGATGCTGCTGTAGTAGTCCAGGTGAGAGGCAAGAGAAGCCTGACCTTCAGTGGTAGCAGTGGAGAGACAGAGAGGTCAGAGATGTGGAGGGATGCTTAGCACATAAAAATCTGCAGGACATGAAGGAGGATTAGATATATGTCTGGTGTTGGTAGAGGAGGAAGAAAGTCAGTGGGAGACAGGCACACACTGAGGAGCAAATGCCAGGGGGAGCTAAGAGCTCTATTTGGACATGTTGAGGCAGGGTGGCACCTAGGGTGTGCAGGGCTTTAGCAAATCTATGAACAAATTAATTTAAAACTATATCACAAAATACATAGGCCCAAGTGAAGTATAGTGACATATTGATGAAAATTTAGGTTGATGGGTGAAAAGATAAGCACTTGGATAATTTTATACCACCCATTGCCAAGAAATAGATATATTGGGTTGGCCAAAAAGTGCATTTAGTTTTTTTCCCATACGATGGCTCTAATTGTGCTTAAATTTAGATTTCTAGAAGTCTTTAACTTCATTTAAAAATATTTTTGTTATATTGTATTGTGACAACTGTCAGTTATATCAGCATGCATTTTATTCATTTTATTTTATTTATTTTTAAAAAGATTTTATTTATTTATTTATTTTTAGAGAGGGAAGGGAGGGGGAGAGAGAGAGAGAGAAACATCAATGTGCAGTTGCTAGGGGCCATGGCCTGCAACCCAGGCATGTGCCCTGACTGGGAATCGAACCTGTGATACCTGGTTTGCATATTTATTTTATTTTTATTTATTTTCTTTTTTTCTCCATGTCCCTCTTTTCACAATAGAGATCAGGCAAAGGGCCTGGGCTGAAGTGTATATGGGGTGGGTTTACGCTGCCTCCTCTTTCTGTACAGGCAGTGTAAGAACACAGCCTGTGGTAAGCACTGGGAGGCCTATATCAGCATGCATTTTTCTAAAAAATCAAAATTGGTGAATTTTTGGTAGCCATTTTAATATTGAAGATGGAAAAAATACACAACATTTTTGGCATATTATGCTTTATTATTTCAAGAAAGGTAAAAATGCAATTAAAATGCAAAAAGAGATTTATGCAGTATATGGAGAAGGTGCTGTGATTAATTGAACTTGTCAAAAGTAGCTTGTGAAGTTTCTTTGGTACTATTGACATTTTAGCCAAATAATTCTTTGCTGTGGGGCTATCTTATGCATTGGAAGATGTTTAGCATCACTCCTGGCCTCTACCTACTAGAAGCCAATAGCTAGAGATAGCCAACATAGTCAAAATATCCAAATCAGTAAAGTTATTGCTGAAAATGAAAAATGTGTCATTTTTTAAAAAGATTTTTATTTATTTATTTTTAGAGAGAGGGAAAGGGAGGGAAAAAGAGAGGGAGAGAAACATCAACATGCAAGAGTCACATTGATTAGTTGCCTCTCATACACCCCCAACTGGGGACCTGGTCCACAACCCAGGCATGTGCCCTGACCAGGAATCAAATGGGAACGCTTTGGTTCCCAGGCCAGCACTCAATCTTCTGAGCCACAGCAACCAGGGTGAAAAATGTGTCTTATTCTATGGAAGAAACCATATGGACTTTTTGGCCAATATAATAGTAATGCTATCATCATTTTACAATGTCATAACTCTTTGGAGTCTGTTTGGATTGAAACAACATAGCTCCCTTGTCTCACAGTTCCCTAATACTGTTTACTTAATACTTAATTACTTAGGACTGTGTCACGTGTGAACTTGCTTCTGATGACTCTTTCTCCAGTGTTACAGAGCTTCGCTGATGATGACCACAAGTGCAAACAGGAATTTTCCAGTGTCCTCCATCTGATCTTAATGTTTTCAAAAATATTTCAACTGATAACATTTGGGAGGGAGATTTACTCCTTCATGTCAAGAAAACTTTTTTAAAATAATGTTTTCATACCTAGGTTTGATAACCATGTTATAGACATTTGAAAACATAGTGAAAAGTTTTGCATTTTGATTATTTTTCTGCACTCTTTTTCTTATGCACCTTTTTTCCCTAAACATAATTATAAATGTAGTTTGTAAACAAGGTGGCGGTCTTCTTCACTTACCTCACATAAATTCTTTCCTTCTTAAAATCCAGATGAAATAATATTTAAAAAATAATTTTTTGATGGTTTAGCATCCACTTTATTGTGCTTACTTTTTTTATTAAGGAACAAGCAACACATACCACAGTGTCCTAACATTCAAGGTAATGCAATAATAGCAAACTTCTCCAAACAAAAATAACTGCAAATTGTATTAAATACTGCTTTATTAGAAATAATTTCTATAATAAAAAAATAACATTTTTCCAATGAACATCAGTTTGAGAAACTTAACAGCAGATCTTTAAGATTTGAGTCATGGCAAAACTGATAGTTCTTTGAAATCTGGGAGATGCATTAACAAAACCACAGACACAGCCTACTCTATACTAAAATCCTGAAGAAAAGCACTTTATTAATTTGGGGAAATAAGACTGAACACTGGCTAAGATATGACTTTGACATCTACAGCCACCTGGTAAGCTGGCCCAGGGAATGAAGAGAGCCATTGGTACTGGTGGCAGATAAGAAATAAACTGCGTTGGGCTGGCCAACTACATATTTCATTAATGGCTTTGAATAAAAAAAGTGAAATGCTTCATTGTGTTTTCTCAGAAACTAACACAAAGGTTATAGAGTCCTACACAATTTGGAGACACAAAGCGGATGCTGAGTGACTAGAGGTCACCCCAGGTGTGGAATTTTAGAAAGTTAGTCCTTGGAGTAAATGGCACCGTGGCTCTGGCAGCAGATACAAAGGAATGACCCTCTGGAGAGGTAGGGGACGCTCTGCGATTGGCCAGTGGATAGATGACGGTCCCAGCTGGAGCTAGGCTCTTTAATGCTATGGTTTATCTTCCACTGCTCATCCCTCTGTCTTCATAAATGGTAATTTCAATAACTCGAAGTCCTCTCTCAATGGGATCTTTCAGGAGGAGGCCTTGGGGAGCATATATCTTCTCATTCTGCTCCTGAATGTATTTGGAGATTTTCTTCAGAACCTTCTCGTAATGAGTTTCCATGCACAGGAAGATAGTGTATACCGTTAAACAAGCCAAACAGCCTTCAAGATATGACTGGCCCCCAAGCTTCTCCGCTTCTGCATAAAGGTTATTTAGAGTTCGAACTGTTTCTTCAAACTGCTGCCTATCAATCCGGTTCTCCAGCTCCGTGGGGAACTTGGTCTGGAACTGGCAGCGTGTGCCACTGCTGTAGTCTCGCTGAATGAATACTTTCCCGAACACGGGCGCCTGCTGCGGCCTCATGGCGAGGACAGGACCAGCCCCGCCGCCTCCTCCACCCTCCAGCTGCTGTCAATATTTAAAAAATAATTTTTAAAATTTTTCAATTATAGTTGACATACAATATTATATTAGTTTCAGGTGTAGAACCTAGTGGTTAGACATTTATAAATTTATGAAGCGATCTCCTGAAAAATCTAGTACCTATCTGATACCATACATAGTTAACTAGAATATTATTAACTATATTCCCTATGTTGTACTTTACATCCTCATGACTATTCTGTAACTACCAATTTATACTTCTTTTTTTAAGGCATACTATTTATTTATTTATTTATCTTCACCCAAGGACATTTTTTCATTGCTTTTAGAGAAGGAGAAGGCAGAGAGAGAAAGCTTTGATGTGAGAGAGAAGCATCGATTGGTTGCCTTCCATATGTGCCCAGACCCGAAATTGAACCCACAACCTAGGTATGTGCCCTGACTGGGAAATGAACCCACAACATTTTGGTTATGGGACAATACTCCAACCAACTGAGTTACACTGGCCAAGGTCCAATTATATTTCTTAATCCTTCACCTTCTTTTCACCCACCCACCCACCTATCACTTTACCCCCTTTCACCTGGCAACTCAAAATGGTCCCTGTATCTATGAGTGGGTTTCTGGTCTAGTTGTTTGTTTGCTTTTTAGATTCCACATATGGTATTTGTCTTTCTCTGTCTGACTTATTTTACTCAGCACAATACTTTCTAGGTCCATCTATGCTGTTGCAAATGGCAAGATTTCATTTTTTTTTATGTCTAAGTCATATTCCATTGTATATGTGCACCTCTTCTTCTTTATCCATTCATCTATTGATGGATACTTAGGCTGCTTCCATATCTTGCCTATTGAAATAATGCTACAGGGAACATATAGATGTATATGTCTTTTCAATTTAGTGTTTTGAGTTTCTTTAGATAACTACCCAGCAGTGGAATTGCTGGGTCCTCCTTTGTCCCTTTTATCACCTTTGTTTTAAATTCTATTTTGTCTGGTTTAAGTATTGCTATCCCAGCTTTTTGTTGTTGTTGTTTGTTTACATTTTCATGAAATATCTTTTTCCATCACTTTACTTTCAGTCTGTTTGTGTCTTTGATTTGAAGTGAGTCTCTGTAGACAATGTATGTAAGAGTCTTGTTTTGCTATCCACTCAGTCACCTTGTGTTTTTTGATTGAATTAATACATTTGCATTTGAAGTAATTGCTGATGGACATGTATTTATTATCACTTCATTATTTATATTGTTTATATATTTTTTCTTCATCTTAAAAAATACCCTTTAACATTTTCTGAATACCGGTTTGGTGGTGGTGAACTGGTTTAGCTATTTCTTGTCTGGGAAGCTCTTTATCTGACCTTTGATTCTGATAGTTTTGCTGGGTAAAGTAATCTTGGTGTAGGTCCTTGCTTTTCATTACTCTAAATATTTCCTCCCACTCCCTTCTGGCTCACAAAGTTTCTTTTAAGAAATCAGCTGACAGTTTCATGGGAGCTCCCTTGTAGGCAACTAACTGCTTTTCTCTTTCTGCTTTTAAAATTCTCTCTTTGTCTTTAACCTTTGCCTTTTTAATTATGATATGTCTTGGTGTGGACCTCTTTGAGTTCATCTTATTTGGAACTCTCTGTGCTTCCTGGACTTGTATGTCTATTTCCTTCACCGGGTTAGGGAAGTTTTCTGTTATTTTTTCATTTACATTTTCAATTCCTTGTTCTTTCTCTTCTCCTTCTGGCACCCCCATGATGCATGTGATTGTTAGTGTGCTTGAAGTTGTGCTAGGGGCTCGTTACACTATCCTCATTTTTTTAGATTCATTTTTTTCTTTTTGCTGTTCTGATTGGGTGTGGGTTTTTTGTTTGTTTGTTTGTTTTTACTTCCTTGTTTTCCAAATCATTGTTTTGATCCTCTGCTTCATTTACTCTACTGTTGATTTTTTTTAATTAATGTATTCTTCATTTCAGTTATTGTATTCTTCATTCTTGACTGGTTCTTTTTTACATTTTCTACTTTTTTCTTTTGTGTGTGTGTGTGTGTTTTTTTTTAAGAGAGAGAGGAACACTGATTTGTTGTTTCACTTATTTATTTATTAAATATTTTATTTATTTATTTTTAGAGAGAGGGACCACTTAGCCAGAGGTATGGGGCCAGCCAAGGTCAGATGTTGCTTATTTGAACTTCGAGATATTTTATTCCACAGCATGAGCCAAGACAGGCTATTTGTATGGAATACTGGAAACAGCTTGTGTTGGCCTGCAAATTGGGTGAGGCGGTATCTCAGGGAATCACCAGGGTGGAGCAAACAGTGTTAGGTTAGTCAGATATAGCACCTGCTTGCTTGCTGTGTTGGAGGAGAGCTCAGCAAAGGGACAATGGCCTCTGCCAGCACTTCTGTCTGGGAGAAAGCTGACCCTTAAGCCCTCGCCCCAAAGCCAGACAATTTAGTTTCTTCCCTCATGTTTCTGGTGCCTTTGGAGCTGCCACCCCAGCACTGGAGCTCAGAGAGCATGAATCCAAGTAATTTTGTGGGCAGGCTCATTAAGAGGGACACTTGCTTATCTATTTTTGACTATATTCCCTATGTTGTACTTTATATTTCTGTGACTATTCTGTAACTACCAATTTGTACTTCTTAATCCCTTTACCCTTTTCACTCAGTCTCCCAAACCTCATACTTTATGGCAATTACCAGAGAGTCTGGTCTGTGTCTATGAGTTTGTTTCAGTTTTGTTTCTTCATTCATTTTGTTCTTTTTAAAAAATCTTCATCCAAGAATATGTTTACTGATTTGAGAAAGAGAGAGGAAAGCAGAAAGGGAGAAACATTGATGCAGGAGAAATATCAATTGGTTACCTCCCATACCCACTCAACTGGGTATTGATCCTGCAACCTAGGTATGTGCCCTGACCAGGGATCAAACCCTCAACCTTTTGGCTCGTGGGACAATGCCTCAACCATCTGAACCACCTGGCTAGTGCTGTTTATTTTGTTCTTTAGATTCCACATATAAATGAAATCATATGGTATTTGTCTTTCTCAGACTGATTTATTTTACTTAGCATAATACCCTGTAGGTCCATCCACACTATTGCAAATGGTACACATGAAACCAATAAAAAATAATACTGAAAGTAAACTGTAATTGAAAAAATAAAAATAAATAAATATTAAAAAGAGAGAGACAGACAGACAGGCAGATACCTGGGATCCAGCAGCCTCTCTGGATCACTGAGCTGCAACTCTGCTGGTTTCCACAGCCAGATGTTATGGGGATTTCCCTTCCTGGCACTGGAACCCTGGGCTGGGGGGTCTGGTGTAGAGCTGAAACCCCTCACTCTTCAGGGGGGACCTACACACCCAAGATATTCCTCCTGACTATTAATTGCCACATGTGGCTGTAGAACCAGCCTGTTTTGAGTCCACCAGTCTCAATGTGGCTTCTTTTTTATAACGTTAGTTAGAGGACTTCTATTCAGCTAGATTTCAGGCAGCTCTGAATGATTGTTGTTCTGCAGTTAGGTTGTTATTTTGATGTAGCTGTGGGAGGAGGTGAGTGTCATAGTTACCTACTCTGCCATCTTGACCCAAAGCCTGTAGTAGTGTGTTTTTGAAAGGAAACAAATAAAATAATACCTTTTAAAAATTGTACAACCCTCAAGAGGGAAACTCTAGATTTAGAATCTAACTTAGCAAGATAACACACAGATATGATTAATTTTAGCAAGATCAGTGAGGTCCTAAATAGTGGGTTATAAATATAAGGTTGGTATGTTAGTGTAACTTCACATAACAAATACTGTGTAGTCTTAACTTGAAGTGAGCAAATACAATTGGCTATAACAAACATTCTCACTAATGAAAGTTCCTATAACAAATAATCAAAGCCTTACACTTTAGGCTATAATTTCTGGAGTTAGAAGTAGACTTTTCACAGGGCTACTTGACTTTATTCCACTTTTTAAAATGAAATGGTAGTTACCTTTACTATAGACAGAGCATGCATAAAACAATTATTTTTAAAGTTAATTTATTAATTTATTTTCAGAGAAAGGAAGGGAGGGAGAAAGAAACAGAGAGAAACATCAATGTGTGATAGAACCTGGCCCACAACCCAGGCATGTGCCCTAGACTGAGAATTGATCCAGCAACTCCTTGGTTCTCAGGCTGGCACTCAATCCACTGAGCCACACCAACCAGGACACATAAACCAACTCTTAAAAAAAACTTCTTCTCCTTGACCAAATGTTGGTCCATTGTGACCTGGAGTCTATCATGATACATAGTTCCTGTACCTACCCTGCATTGAAAGAACTTGTGTCTACAAATTTCTTTTCTTGCCACATATCCCATGACATATCACCATGTCTTATAACTGATTTGAACCAAGGTTGAAGTGCATTCTTCTTAAATTTCTAATTATTTTTATGCCATATAGGTTACTATGGAGTCTGTAAAATCACTAGTGTCAGTGGCTACATCATATTCCACATGTTCTCAAATACCTTTCTTTCATGGAATACATCTCACTTTACAAGTGTACACTGAATGTGTGGCTGTGTGTTTAATGTTTGTCTCATCATTTGACTGTAAGTTCTGTAAGGGGAGGGCCATGTAAGTTTTGGCTTGTGGTTGAATCACCAACTGCAGATGTGTTGTGTGTGTGTGTATATATCTCCTTAGTTAGGTTATATACAAGATGTAATATATGTGATATTATAAATATATGAATTAAATTTGCATTATGTAATACAGTTTCGCTACCTTCCATCTTCCATCCATTGATGGAAATTTTGATTGTTTCCAGTACTTTATTTTTGTAAATTTTCATGCCCATTTATGGTTATTCCCTTAAATTCTTAAATTTGAATGCTCTATTAAGAGGTCTTGGTCCTTTCAAGCTTCCTAAACTTCTAGGAAAGAAATACCAATTTATACTATAAGTAATAATGTATGGGAGTACCAATTTGACAGGGATACATATTTCATTCTCCTCATTTCTTTTTAATTCTATTTG